ACCTTGTGAAGAGCATGAAGACGATTGAGAAGTTTAGAGATTTGCTACGACATTGTTGTCAAAGATAAGAGGACTGAGTTCTGTGTAGAGGTCAAAGGGGAACTCATTTTAACGACACTAAAAGAGAAAAGAACCAAAGGTGTTGAAGGGTACAGATGAGCATAGAATACCACACAACATGGGGAAAAACAGATGCAAGATGGCGTGGGGAACAGTGCATCAGAAAACATAAAGAGGTGTAACAGGACTAGGGAGGGCGAGCTAGATAGCGTACGAAATAGTGCCGTAAGACGTGTAGCAGTGCGAGGTCATGGGATAATATACATGCAACAGAGCTCAAGAAAATGTGAAGTAGGGCGTTGAGAAGGCGTGCAGCATGACGAGGGAAGAGTGGAGGAGCAGTGTACCATGGCGTGGGAAGTGGGGAATAGAGCGTGTTAAACAGTGCATCAAGACGTGCCAGAGTTACAAGAGAGCGCGGGAGGGCTATAATAGAAGTAAGGGCGTGGGATGGGTGCAGTTGGTGGTGGTGGTGGTGGTAGGGGCTCAGCTAGGCGTGGGAGGCTAGAAAGTAGGACGATCGGGAAGCGTTGGAGTCTATAGGTTATTTGGAGATGTTCGCACCTTCACCACTGTGTTTCCTTGAGTGTTCTTGGCTGTGGGCACCTTGGCATGCATCTCTGCTGGCACAGTTACTACCTCCCTCTCGCTCTCTCTCTCTATCTCCGCCTTTTTATCCATATCTATCTAATTCTCATACTCTGTTTATCTCTTTCTTTCTCTTTATATCTTAGTCATTTTATGTCTCTTTAACTCTCATAATCTACGTTTATCTATATTTCTATCTATCTTTATCTCCTCCTCTTTATATATCTCATGTTTTCTCTCATACTCAACAAATGACACCACTTGGTATAACTGTATAATCACTAAAACAAGAAAGAGCCCTCGAAGCTAGGCTTAGGTTTATTGAAGGGTGAGAATGCATTCACAATGCTCCAGACAGATCTTATAAGGAGCTATATCAAGCAAATATCTACATTCAGGAGTTAAGCATATTTGCTGTCTGTAAGTAAGTCCTTATGGCGGGTTTAATGATCCTCCTGCGATTTATAAATCTTAAATCAACAACAAAACTGAACCTAAATATCTTCAGCTCATCGTCCTGTTTTGGTAGTACTGTACTTATAGTAATGATGAGGACCATAGTACATATACCCATGTACAACGCAATTAGAAAGTAGAAATCTGTATTATTGATTTTTTTTGTTATCTTTATTTAAGAAAATACAATATAAATCATATACACATAAATTTTACAAGGCAATACTACATTACATATTCAGTAGTATAATTCTCAGTAAACAAGTGTTTCATATTATCACAGAACATGAACTTTAAACCCCTAAATGTTATATTTATTTGTCTTTAAATGATTTACAATTTTAGTGATTATTCATCACCGAGTATGAGCCCTTCAATATTTTGTCTACTGAGTAACCCTCCTGCCTGCCTATCCACACAAAAAATGTATTCAGAAAGTAGCATAATTATTGTATTCTTAATTTTCTTGCATTTTATGTCAATATGAAACATTAAAAACCTCATTAAGTCCACTCTAATACTTGGTCCACATAAAGCTTTAAGAGTGTTTCTAATCCAGTTTACAAGAACAACTTTCTGCTTACAGAAATAAAATATATGCATATTATTCTCAATTTCAGTACACTGGTCACACCTATTGTTGTCCTTAATGCCCAAAATCAACAGCCTATCATTAGTATATATTAGCATATGTATCAAGTAGCTAACACGTAATCTACAAAAGTAATGTCCTAGCGCATTTACACTATTCCTCGGCATTATCTCCTTTCTAAAGGTAACACATAAGATTACCAGTGACTTATGGTACACATTCAGTATTCCTATTCCACCGTTTTTCTTACCTTTACATAGAGTAGTCCGTTTAATTGGTTGGTATCTACCATACCATACATATCTAAAAATAGTTTTGTCAATCTCCATAGCACTTTTCTTGTCAATTGGAAAGCTGTGAGACAAATACTCACTTTATGTCTCTTCTTCTTTTTTAGGAGGAAAAAAAATCTTCAGACAAGATTTTGCAATTGATTATTACAGACTTCTGAAACAGGGTTAATTTCCTATTTGACAACATATTCGTAGCTACTATTATATTTCCACATAGTACTTGCCAATTCGTAACCAATCTTGGTGCATATGTTTTACACCAGCAAATCCAAAGAGCTTTAATCGTTTCAACTACCTTGAACCATGAACCTGTCTAAGTAAGTTTATTACACCAACTGCCAAGCCCCATCATACACGTTTTATTCTTGTTAATGACATCACCTTTCAACGTTGTCTAACTCATCCTGAACATTCACCACCGAGTCTTCTGTCGACACAACAATAGTGGTATCGTCTGCATAACCAACAACAGGAAGTGTCATAGCATTAGGAAGACGAGGTGGAACAATAAAGTCATTGCTTTTTATTGCCAAGTACAGTGGCTCTTGAAATATAACATACAAAATCATTGAAAGGGGACATCCCTGACGTACAGATCGTTCAACTGAAAAAATGTTTACTTAAGTCTCCATTGATACACATGCTGCTCCGACACTGTTTATAAAGCATACGGATCCAATCAATAAATTCTTGTGCCACTCCTACTCTATCCAATATTTCTAATACAAAATGAACATAAACACCGCCAAAAGCTTGTGGACAAACTGGAAAAGATATTGTATTTATGTTGCAAAGACAACCTAAACTGACCGAACCTACCCTTCCCAGGCCTAATACCCGCTATCTGAGGCCTAATATAGTACATGTGTGCTATACTAGGCCTAGGAATATTTAAGTTTGTTTTTTAGCTCCATTTTTTTCGGACTCTTAAGTGAATAGTACAAAATCTACTATCTAATTGCTTAGTACGTTAATCTTTGTACTAGGATGCACATAGCTACAAAAAGTACTTTCCAAACATGAGGATGGGTTGATGTTCTTAGGTAATTATTTTACTAACTAATAACAACCAGCTTAGACTGTTTATGAATACCAGTTATCGGTCTCACATGGAAGCCTCATGCTCCTTCTCTTTTCTAACAAGATGTCTATCAGTTTTTACTGGGCTGTCGGGGACAAAATGTCTGTTGGACTCCTTTTTTTTTTTAATTTAATTACAGGAGGTCAAATATGTCTTCTCTCAGACTTAAGAAATATGCTATGAATAAGTTTTCTCAGCAAGCACTGACTGAAGGAACGCAAACTAGGCTGCAGGTATTTATCAATGTCAAGCACAAAACCAATTCGAGTTTATAGCACATGAACTTGAGAGCTCGTGAGATGTTTCATTTTACTTGATTATCTGAGTAACAAAGACATGCAAAGGTTATTTCATTCAGCCTGGCTCAGAAAAAACAAACATTTCTGAACAAAACTAAGTGCAAATAAAAATAATAATTCGATTGCAGTGTTGCGAGGAATAATAATAATATAGAAATGAGTTTCTAGTTATATTTTTTCCTGGTAGCAGTTGCTTTATTTCTTGTGGTAATGCTTAGTTTCTCATGGTAATTTGTTTTGGTGGTAATTACTTTGCTTTTGGTGGTAACTACTTTGTTTCTTTGGAAATTACTTTGCTTCTGATAGTAATTACTTTGTTTTCGTGGTATGTTTTTTTTCTGGTAGTAATTGCGTGGTTTCTGGTAGTAATTGCTTGGTTTCTGGTGGTAATGCTTGGTTTCTGGTGGTAATTGGTTTATTTCTAGTGGCAATAGCTTTTTTCACTTACACTAGGGTTCATTAGAGCTCTCAGTTGAGGTACGTAGTGAAACTACAAGCAAGAGCTTGTAGTTTCCTACCTCAGCTCATCTGAAGCCTGCTCCTAGAAACTGATTTATTTCATGGGATTATTAATATTTTCATTAGGCATGATCTTTATATAAATCTTAAATTCCTTTAAACAATTATATAAGGAACAGGATGAGCCAGTAGCCAACTGTGTGCCTTCATGTGATCGGTTATTTTGATTCTTGTGGCAATTACTTTGCTTCTGGGGGGTAATTGCTTAGTTATATACGGTTTTCTTTAATGATTTTTCTAGTTTTGTCGAAACTAGGTTCTAGGAGAGGTCTCTCGAGTGACGCACAGGTTCCTATACGGTCGTTATGTATATTTGGTATTATCGAAAATTTCCGGCGTGTTAACCTAGTTGTGATTATAGGAGGTTGAGCTGCAGTTCTTTGTTCCCGACTTTATGCTTACAGTCGACTGGCCTACAGGTTCCTGAGCGCCATCATACCTGCATTTAAATGCGCTTCTTAGTGCATTCCATTTGCTCACTGTGTTTGTGTGTGTGTGTGTGTGTGTGTGTGTGTGTGTGTGTGTGTGTGTGTGTGTGTGTGTGTGTGTGTGTGTGTGTGTGTGTGTGTGTGTGTGTGAAAGAGAGAGATGTATTATGTGGTTGATGTACATTGGGTCCAGCAAGTTTGGTCGGAGTTATTGCGTGGTTGCCATGCATGCTTTAAAGATGTGTCTGCTGCTTTGGGTAGTCGTGAACACGTGATTGCAGCAGTGTTGTCACTGGCGGATACCTTGCATAACTCCAAAGGATACCTCGTGTCTGTCTATATAAGCAGATGTGATTAAAGTTTGTAATGTATGTGCAGCTAGAAGCAACAATATGACAGTGTTGGTTTAGCTAGAGTGGTTGTGCAAGCACTAATGGACAGCTAGGCTCGGCGGATTGTGCAAACACATTATTCTTCACATGAAACTATAAATCGTACAATTATCTATTACTTAAATTTGTGCTCTGCGGCATATAGTTTGATAAAAGTATGATTCTCCCACCATTATCACGCGGCAAACAAATTTTCGTGATCTTAAAAGATAAGTGATCAGTGAATATAAATGCTTTCTGTGTTTGGATTAGTGAAACAAACGACTAACGCTGAGACTTTTTACCCCCACAGATACCTTGATGCATTATCGACCTTAACGTTTGGTTGGAGAGTGTCAGCCCCGAAACTTGGGGGCAATGGGCGACAATTTTGCCCCGAGCTTTACCCAAAAGCCTAAACTCCGCCAGGAGGATGACGGCAACAAACTTATCTTCGACTGCAAGCTCTCGGCCTCCCCACAGCCCTCCATCGAGTGGTTCCGGGAGGATACCCCGGTGAAGGAAAGTTCCAGGGTCAAGATCACCGTTAAACCAGGCAAAGGAGGTAATATCCACGACGTCCAGCTCATCCTTGACGACGTCGAGGAGGAGGATGCCGGGCTCTACAAGGTTAAGGCTAAGAACAAGTATGGCGAGGTGTCCGCGTCAATCAATCTCAACTTCAGTCGTAAGTATGGCAGTCCCTGACGTTTCCTGGCTTTTTCCTATACGTTTCCTGAAGAGAGGGGGAAGGGGGGATAAAGAAGACAAAGAAGGTAGCTGGATAGAGATTAGGATGAGCATGAAGGTCGTACACATAGAACACCAAGGACTGAGTAATTATGTAGTTAGCTTTTTTGCCCTATAATTTTAGCAAACCTCGTAAACTCACTAGGTACGAAAATAAATGCAAGCATTATAGATCAGTGGTAAATTGTTTAAGCAATCTAGTAAGAGATTACAAACTCGATAATTTTAACTATGGAATAAATTGAAAACTAATTATACCTATTATCAGGCGAAGCTGAGTAACGTTATCTTCTGTCAAAGTTATTTACAGCTCCATTTTAACTACAACTGTAGTTATGAAATCCTCTCCTATAAAGGCAATAGCCATAAAAAATAGGTTAACACCTCTATCACCATGTGCACAGAAATCTGTGTTTAACTAATTTTCCTACAGCGAGCAGTAACTTTGTGTCTGTGGACATACATTAATTATCCACATTGCTACCAGAAATGGGTAATACAGTATTAGCTTTAATGTAGCCTGAACCTGACTCATTAACATCTAACACAGCTGATTCTGTGTTTAGGTTCAACAAACTGCTCTATGAACCATCTACAATTAAATACAATGATATAGGTGATTCAGACCACTATAAAAATAATCATTATTTATACGATCCTATTCAGTAATTCAAATAATCTAAATCCTTTCATCGCAGACTCGGTAATTTTAACTTGTAATAGGTTGTGAACGGGCCAAAATCATTGGTATCCACACAAGATACATTTTGACTAGTCTATCATGAACATATTAACTTGATCTCTTAATACGTCTCTTGATCTCATCTTGCGTCTCACAGGCCCGGATCACAACAGTGAATAAATTAATAAGTTAAAAAGAAAAAAAAATTAAGCCTTTTGGGGATCAGATTTGCTTAAGAGACGAAACCTAAACGAAGTATTATCAGAGGAGAGGTAGCTAGCAAAAATTAATGTGAATAACACCAAAATTATCAAGTTGAAAGATTTCATTCATATCACGATAAATGTATTAATCTTTATTATATCATAAGAATAAACTTGGTGGATATAAATATACCTTAAATAGAGTATTCAACTAGAATTCAGATATATGCGGGCACTCTAGCTTAACTTTCCTTGCATGTTTTCCTAATATATATATATATATATATATATATATATATATATATATATATATATATATATATATATATATATATATATATATATATATATATATATATATATATTTGCTATTAACCCTGAAGGGTAAAGTGCAAAGGTGCATGTATCTTAAGGAAGTTAGTACGTCTTGATAATTCATGGAGACACCTTTGTTTCTCCTGCCCAGCTACTCCTGAGAAGATGCAAGCCTAGTACCAAGTTTGCTGTATTTTCAATTTTGATTTTCTAAGCTAATAGAATACTTTATTTTTTACAATAGTTTTTTCTAAAAGAGTTTTTTTTTGTTCTAGGATATAATGAGATTTATTCTTCTCTATTGACTATAATTTATATTTGTTTGTTGCATGATAATATTTTCCCAGCGTTTAGTGTTTAGCAAGCGAGGTTTAATCCCTTTAATATCTAAAATTAATCATCGGCATATAACCGTCTATTGATTTACTTTAAACAAACACAAAGTAAAACACCTTCAATGTTAAGGTGATAATGACATTATCACATAAGTGACAATGACAAAAATAGCAATAATAAAATAACAACAGCCACAATAATAATAATAATAATAATAATAATAATAATAATAATAATAATAATAATATTGTCATTAATATTATTAGTATTAACAAATAACAAAGAAAAGCCGTAAGAGTTGATGGCCTACTATGCCAGTACATGCACTGTACTCACCAAGCCATAACTAACAAAGTGTGGGGCAGTGTCAGTTCCCTACCAGAGGAACCTGCCATACTATGAAGGAAATGGCTAAATAACTGAGGATAATGATAGAGCTAAATTGAAAGGTTCACGGACAATGGAAGTTAATGATACAGGAACCAGTGATAACAACGCCAAGGAGTGCTGCATTATGCATGATGATAATAGGATATTGTAAATGCAGCATCCAGGCATTAGAGCGCCATGGTATACTGCTTTCCCCCCCCCATGATTATGCTAGGATATTGTAAATAAACAAATCAGCAACCAGGTATTACAACGCCATGGTATACTGCATTATGCATGATTATGCTAGCATAACGTAATAAATTATATTTGAAACAGACATAAATGTGTTAGATAAAAGTAATAGGGGTAACAGACCTACGTTTGTGTGTGGAGTCACCTGTTGTCCGGCAGCCTTGAGATGCATCATGTGATCACCACCCTCTCCCCCTTTACTTTCATCCTCATTCACCTCTCCTTCCCACTCACCCCCCCCCCTCCCTTAGCCCCTATTAAAACATGGGGAGAATGGGATTCCTTCCATGTGTTCCTGGTTCATTTTTTGCTTTGGTGTGACGATGATTACGTGTGGAGTGGAGTGGTAGTGGAGTGTTCCTGGCATGCTGCTCTCAGGCGACGCTGCACGTGGCAGGGTATCTGGATGTCTCACTGAGGAAACCCTAGACGTTGCTCTACTCGTCTCGGGTTTCTATTTCAGGAATTAGAGATGGTTTCTATTTGAGGAGTTAGAGAGGGGCGGACTGAAATATTTGGGCATAATGCCTCCTTTCAGATTTTTGTGTCAGTGTTAACGTATTCATTTATTTAGACTTCTAATTGTGTTTCAATTATTTACAATCATTTATTATTTACGAGAAATTTGAAGCCAGTAAAATATCTTTTGCATGACATATAACTTCCTTAACTTCTTATTGAGAGGTTAATGTGGAGGTCGTTTACACTGCAGTAATGAACTTATGGCTCATTAGCCTCAAACGCACTTGTTAGCGCAGTCGATTCACAGGCGATTTTGTGGCCACATTTCCTTTCACCCGATACCTCTGTTTACCTTGCAGTAACTATAGGTATCCCCAGAGCTAATCGTCTGTTGTGGGCTGCGTCCAGAGAGAGGCCAGTTGTTGGCCTACAAGGACCTCGATAGGCTTGACGTTCAGGATTCCTACCCCGTACCAATGGGAAACCAGTGATGTTACAGAGGCAAAGCCCCATCCCACACGCTACAAGCTTCGAGAGTCTTATAAATAGAGGTCGCTACATGTACGCGCACTGTAAACATTTTAGCTATTACCTCAGTGGTTTTATCTGATGCAAAGCCAAGCCAAGACTGGCGAGTCTCGATGGTACGATTAAGCCATTATTTCAAGCCAGCCTAAATGTCTGCCAAGGGTTAAGTGAGTGCTAAGTGGGAGGAACTTCGTCTCTAATATATAGCTTTCATAGACATACAGATACAAAATTATTAAAAAATACAAAATAACTCGTTCCCGAATCATAGCATTTGCTGTTGCTCCTACTCTACATAATTATTTAGTATATCAGATAAAGTAGCCTCCACTACACTATATATAATGTTACAACTTATTCATGTGGGCAACTTTTAATGATCTCCAGGCATAGAAAAGGTAAATTATGTGACAAAGAACGAAGGCAGGAAACTAAGGCGGTTGTAGATAGGTAAGCCAGGATGATAGGCCACTCTAACATATATGTGTTAGATATATATATTTTTTTCTCCCATTTTGCTTGGGAATGAATAACCTGCCGGTTTTCTTTAGAACAGTCAAGACCATTTTCTATGGAAATTTAAGGTGTGACTTATTTACGAACATCCAGATATGCTGTTTTATTTTTTTTGGAGAACCTCATTCCTTTCGCACTCAATAAACATTTTGATAAATATTTCAATAAACAAATGCTCTAAAAAAATATTATTCCTTTTTAAATAGCTAAAAAACAAGGGAATGTTGGTTATTTCCTTAATTATTGTTGACCAGCAACTCGTGACTCCAGACTCACCCATGTCTCCTTAATTTGTCTTAAGGTGACACTTTGAGACGTTGTTCCTGACTAGTCTAATTTTCTCTACATGTGAGCTTATTTTTAAGATCTCTTTATTTGCTATTATAATATTTAAGAGTTTTATTTGCAATTTTATTATTTCTTGACGGGTTTTTATTTGCAAATTTTTAATTCTTTCTCAATGGGTTTTATTTGCAATTTTATGATATTTTTTGTTTTAACTTGTGGTTGTAACGCAAGTGCTGAAGATCAGAGAGAACAGGTGACAGCTTTCTTATGTTCAGCCAAAATAATAACTAGAATAATAAGAATAATATCTTCTACGGGCTTCCAAAAGACGCACTACAGACTTTCAATATTACTGGACATGACTCCTTGTTAGCCGCCACACATGCTCACTACTCCAGCAGGAGACCCTACTGAGGGTGCCACAGGCGGGGATCTCCTGCTGAGGGTGCCACAGGGGAGCCTTCTCCTGTGGGTGCCACAGGCGGGGGTCTCCTGCTGAGGGTGCCACAGGGGGGGGCGTTCTGCTGTGGGTGCCACAGGGGGGTACCTCCTGCTGAGGGTGCCACAGGGGCCTCCTGCTGAGGGTGCCACAGGGGAGCCTCTTGCTGAGGGTGCCACAGGGGCCTCCTGCTGAGGGTGCCACAGGGGCCTCCTGCTGAGGGTGCCACAGGGGCCTCCTGCTGAGGGTGCCACAGGGGAGCCTCTTGCTGAGGGTGCCACAGGGGAGCCTCCTGCTGAGGGTGCCACAGGGGAGCCTTCTGCTGTGGGTGCCACAGGGGGAGCCACCTGCTCAGGGTGCCACAGGGGAGCCTCCTGCTGAGGGTGGCACAGGGGAGCCTCCTGCTGAGGGTGCCACAGGGGAGCCTCCTGCTGAGGGTGCCACAGGGGAGCCTCCTGCTGAGGGTGCCACAGGGGGAGCCTTCTGCTGTGGGTGCCACAGTGGAGCCTCCTGCTGAGGGTGCCACAGGGGGAGCCTCCTGCTGA